CTCTGATTATCTACATATGCTCACGGAACTTGATCTTAACGGTCACGAGAATGGTGGCGTTTAAGATATAAACGATCAGTCTAGGATTGTTATTATCTTGTGTATATGATATAAACGATCAGTCTAGGATTGTTACTATTTTAAGAGGACGAAACTATATATTATCTTCCTTGAAACAACTTAATCACAAAACAAACACAACTTTTTACATTTTTCATTCACAAACATGAACTTTACTTTATGTTTAAGTATTTACTAAATTAACTTTGTAAAGTCTATCAAATTCTTCTCTACTTTTATTTGTTTCGATTAATAACAACCATTTATGCTACTCCACTAATAATCAGAAAAGATCATTGTCTTTAACATAGTTATAACATCAAATTTCTGAACATAATCTCTTCACTAAAACCACAATATAAATTGCAACTTTTTTATAATAACATATATGAATCCTTTCATAACTCATATAAGATTAGACAAACTACAGAGCTAATGAACACTTGCACAACTTCTAAAAGAATAAACAAAGAGCATGGCTTATATCACTTTGTCTAAACAAAGGTCGGAGCTTATATCACTTTGGTTTATGATTGCCACATATATAAGAATCTGTTCAAAAAAATGATGGCCACATATACAAGGTCTTAGATGGGAAATTTATAAGTAACAAACTGATAATAATTAACACAAAATGATAAAATTAAGAAGTTACCATTACAGAAAATTATGAACACTTGCACAACTCATAAAAGATTAGACACATTTCAGAGCTTATATAACCTATATTGACACATCCTATACGCTTAGAAGACAAGTTTATAAATAACAAACTGCTAAAAATTAACACAAAAAATTGGATTTAAGAAGCTATAACCTTACAAATTAAAGCTTATCGTTGCAAGGTTCCAACACGCCTCCCAACTGAATGATTAGCTCACACTGTAAATGCAGTGTAATTTCAAAATCCAGTAGTTACGTATCTCCTACATTCTTTCACTACACAGTTCTGATGCAACCTCTTGATTCTTAATTCAATCATTGCGATTTTCAGAAATAATGGTGAAGATGCCAGTTGAATTTAATGGCAAAGCAACCACAGGGAGATCTCCAAAAAAATCTTTATGTTTCCGAACACTCCAGCGCATCATCATCATCTGTAACCAAAAGAATTCATAAAAATAAAAAAACTTTGGTCCAAAGGAGACGTATTCTTTATGACTTTGACAACTTACTCTTTTGTAAACAAATTTATGTACTTATTCCCACTCTTTTTTTTTTTTTGAACAACATTCCTACTCTTTAATCTTTGTTCCTCCAGTATCTGAATCACGGCAGTCTTGGCTACAAGAGAAATATCTACCACCCCCTCCCCCCCCTATCGGACACCTATCAGCTAAAGCTCATCTTAATAGTGAGGGAATAAATCAGTACTTCTTCCACCATAAATCAATCAAAGCACTCAATCACCTCACATGTGCCAATCTGCTTATGAAAAATACGATAAGGGTATGTATCTTTGTGGTTTAGTAATGTTGTGCAGGGGAAACCTCAAAGAAGGAAAACTCAAAGAAGGAAAATATTTCTTTGATATCCTTGACTAGGAACACACACTATCAAAATCCGATCGCTGCTGGAATAAGATTAAGAGGTTCAAGTACTTTGGATATCCGATCAGATTTCATTGATACACTACTGCGGCAATGCTATCAAGAAACTTATGTTCGGGACAAGAACGTTCTCTGAAAACACCGCACCTGACAGTGGACCAACGGCAGAGGATATTGAGCATATGTAAGCTATGTTTGAAGCATTAGGGTTTAAGTTTGCCATTGTATCTCTGATTATCTACATATGCTCACGGAACTTGATCTTAACGGTCACGAGAATGGTGGCGTTTAAGATATAAACGATCAGTCTAGGATTGTTATTATCTTGTGTATATGATATAAACGATCAGTCTAGGATTGTTACTATTTTAAGAGGACGAAACTATATATTATCTTCCTTGAAACAACTTAGTCACAAAACAAACACAACTTTTTACATTTTTCATTCACAAACATGAACTTTACTTTATGTTTAAGTATTTACTAAATTAACTTTGTAAAGTCTATCAAATTCTTACTCTACTTTTATTTGTTTCGATTAATAACAACCATTTATGCTACTCCACTAATAATCAGAAAAGATCATTGTCTTCAACATAGTTAAAACATCAAATTTCTGAACATAATCTCTTCACTAAAACCACAATATAAATTGCAACTTTTTTATAATAACATATATGAATCCGGCGCGTAGCGCCGGCACACCACTAGTTATATAATAAAATAGGATAATTCCTCTAAATATGCCTCACATTGATTTTAAAATTTTAGATGTTTTATAATAAAAAGGGATAATACATCATTTTAAAATCTAAAATATCTTATAATACACAATTTCAGAGTTCTGGTAATTTGAAAAATATTTTTTTTAGATTGACCACTTCCAAAATATAAGATCAATTATTAAAAAGTCTTAACAAAACAACAAAAACTCATGCCTAAAATTATGAAATATTTTATGTGAAGATTAATAAGACGTTCATCCATATAATTAAATTTTTACTAACTATTTCATTACTCTAAACCTCATTATCAAATAGATTTATTATTTGAAAAAAAGTTTTTAAAATGATAATTAAATTTGATAAATTCACAAAAATACATCTAATATCTAAACTATATACATTTAATTTTTTATAAAAATCCGGCGCGTAGCGCCGGCAGACCACTAGTTTTGATAATAGAAAGTTAACAACATTAACGGTTTAATATTTAGAGATTTAAAAACATAAAATTATAGTTGGAATTTTTTCATCAGGTTTAAATCCACTAAAACACCCAAACCTTTAAAGCATATAAACGAAGTAAAAGACGAGAGACGTGGAAGGAACACAAGTACAAAAGGTTGTGAGCATAAGGCTCTCTCTATCCCTCCGTGAGTTCTTACTGGAAAAACAACTGAGACATAAAAGGTCACATGTAATGTAATTAAGACTTCTCCGTGGAGGTAAGAAGACTCAACCAAGGCTTTGAATGTCAGAATCATTCAAACATGATGGAGCAATCTTTACCGGCTCAAGTATGAATCCTGTTTTTCTGCATTCTTCTTCCAAAAGCTTCACCTGAGATGGACCCTCAGGACAGAAAACCACCACTGCTCCTCCACTTCCTGTGAACTTTGACGCTGCACCAATCCTCCTAGCAACTTCCACCATTTCTATGTTCATTGCTCCTAAGCATTCGTCCCCAAACATCTTCCTACGTCCATAATTACAATAGTTTCATTACTAAATGTCTATGTAGAGGTTTCCAATTTCTATATATATATATATATATATATATATATATATGTTAATCAGATATTACCTCCGAAGGTCGAAGTTACGGTTCATGAGTTGCACGAGCTTGGAATGGTCTTTTTCGAGTAATGCAGTTCGACCTTCTTCTGCTAGATTTCCAACTTCTTCCATTGATTTGATTATCATCTCATCGCCATCTAACCATCGTTGCCGAACCCTACTATGTACCTGCAGTGGTATATAGATGTAAAAGAGTAAAACTTATCACTCAACTATATATATTCCTGAGTTCTAGTCATTGAATGCTAAAATCAGCTAGTAAATGAATGTAGAGTTAAAACAAGGGAAACAGCAGTATGAATACCTTGCCGGAGTCGCTAGGATTCTCAGCATAGATAAGATGCAAAGGTGGAAGGAGACTAATATCCATAGGAGTGTAGATCCCATGTCCCAGCTTATCCATGTGCTCCTTACTAAAATCCTGCATCAGGTGAAGGATCAAAAAATTCACCAACTGATGATGGAAATTGTATAACACCAAACACAGGATCGTTACTGACCATGTGAACAAGACCACCATAGACCTGAGCAACCCGGTCCTGAAGACCAGCGACAATACCAAGCTCTTTCTCAGCATTGAGAACAAGGTTAGGCCTAACTTGTAATTTAATGAGATGCCTAACGTTGTAGAAGTCGAGAAGGCAGCTAAGAGCGGCGGATACAATGGCGCTAGAACCTGAAAGCCCTGTCTGGACATCAAAAAAAAAAAACTAGAGCATCAGCACTGTATATATATATATATATTAACAAGCAGAATAAAATAAAAAACAAAATAGAATTAGAAAACCAAACGCTCTCTCTCACTGTGTACCTGCCTAGGGATATTGGTGTCATAGGAAAGAGTGAAGTTTCGTTGATGAAGCTGAATAGCATTATCTTTGCAATAGTTACGGAACACTTTACAAATAGCCATTAGTAACCTAACACCACCGTAGTAACCTTCATTTCCCAAGCGGTTCACCTAAACAGAAAAACAATTGTTAATATCATCTTAATCTCACAGTTAAAAGCTAATATAAAACTACTTTCACTATCCAAACTAAAACTAATAAACCACCAAATCTGAATTAAGTAAATCAATTAGCATTAACGAAATGAGTAAAAGAGAGAGCGTAGTTACGAGATGGTCAAGAGAGTTGAACTGGACGAGATCGTGGAACGGATGTGGCTTGATTACGAGATGTTCCGATGGTTCTAGCTTCACTGAAGCCCAGAAGTTACCGATAGTGAATGAGATTGTACGCCCGAAGTAAACATCGCTCGGATTCCCTAGAAACCCGATCCGAGCGAACGACCGGTGCTCGATCGCCGTCGTAGAACCCGTGGATTTCGGATCTTGATCCATCATCTTCTTCCCCGGAACCCTTGCCTGTTTTTTTCTTTTTTAATTTTTATTTTTAGCAATATCCATTAAGGTGATCGATCGGGCGTAGTGTATTTATTATTATTATTTTTAATCCAAAGTTTTAACGACTCATCATGGGTCCCACATTACTGCGAAATGAACAGTTACTTCCTACGCAAACAACTGAGTTCAAAACTAGCAAAGAGCGAAACGTATTTTTATTAGAATGTTGCTCGGCTCATCTCCCTCGTATATCTTCTCTGTATTTAATCCAATTTGTAATTTTAACGAAAACACTTGTTGGAACAACCAAAACTTAATGATACTATGATGATTACACGTCTCAAATTGGAAGAAAAGAAAAATATATTGCATCTCCCTCGGGAAAATGGGATTTTTGCTAAAAATAAATTAAAGAGAGTTATTTTTTTTTTAAATCACTCCAGGGCAAAAGATGGTCCTAGGGTGGGTTGCTCCATGTTGTTTCTTCCGGTGCTTCTTTGTAGCTTCTTTGGTAGTTCCTCGTAGTGTTTTATTTGCTGCACAGAAACAACCAAAAATGATATTCCATTTCAAGATATACTCAAAGTGATCCAAAAACAGAGAGAGAGATAGTGAGAAGAGCATTATTATATTACCTGTTTGCTCACAGAAGGCGAGCATAAGGACAAGGCTTGCTCGAAATGAGTCATCTTGAGGGTGCAATCACTTGAATCTATTTCACTGGGCTTGACCTTCTCCTCAACTGCCACGTGTATGGCTTGCTCGAAATGAGTCATCTTGAGGGTGCAATCACTTGAATCTATTTCACTGGGCTTGAACTTCTCCTCCACTGCCACGTGTATGGCTCTGTCCATCTTCCAGTTTCAACAAAGTCAAACCAATCATCAGTATCATAATACACATGTAACAAAGAACAAGGTAGTATTATGATTCATTATCAAAACATTAACGACAAGATTTTACCAGGCCAGCGAGATCAGCTCCGCTGAAACCTTCACACTTCTTTGCAATTGCATCCAGATCAACACTAGGATCTAAGGGTTTCTTCTTTGCAATAGATTTCAGGATTGAAACACGCTCGTCCGCGTTAGGGAGGGGTACGTACACAAGATTCCCAAACCTACCAGGTCTCATGAAAGCAGAATCTATCACATCGGGCCTGTTCGTAGCTCCGATTACATATACATTACGCCTCTCTCCACCGTCCAGTTCAGCAAGAAACTGTGGACCATCAAAGCCTGATTAAGATTCAGGGTTGCAGCATTCAATATTAACCAAGAATGCCTTTGTTTTATTACCTGGTTCAAAAAACGTTCAACAACCCAACCACCTTCTGTGCCACGTTTTGTTGTCAAAGCATCCACCTGAAATTCAAAGACATTACTCAATGTAAAACAATAATCAGACAGCTCTTGTTAAACTTGCATGGTTTCGAGAATTGAAACACAAACCTCGTCAAAGAAGAGTATACATGGGGAGCTTGTCCGGGCGCGCTGAAACACGGTCCGAATAGCACGCTCGGCTTCTCCAACATATTTCTGTAGAAGTTCTGGACCCTGAAAGCCAGCGACAGAATATATTACTTATGACCATTCATATGCAAAGCCATATCAATAAAAGCTGGCGTGAAAGTCAAACCTTAATGTGTATGAAATTAGCTCCTGCCTCGTTCGCAACTGCCTTTGCAACCAACGTCTTTCCACAGCCCGGTGGTCCATAGAGCAAGAAACCTGTCTCTAAGTTCGCCCCAAAAGCCTAAAAAGATCCAATGCGACACATTCAAACCCTAATGGAACAACTGAGTAGTCTTGACTACGTAACAGTGGCAAGTGTTTGATTACTACCTTATAAATCTCTGGATTTTTGATAGGCCTGATTATGTAAGTGTTGAGTTCACGCCGTAGATGGTCAAGTCCACCAACATCGCCCCATGTGACATCAGGCACGGTAGAGAATCCTTCTCGAGTTAAAGATCCCTTAACTAACTTCACTGCTTCCTGGTATTAAAAAAAAAAAAACCACAGAAACTCAGGAACCTAAGTGTAGAACCATTGAAGAAGTAGAGAAAAGTAACACACCTCGAAATCAGACATTCTAACAAAGAGCTTTTCCAAATCTTCCTCTAACCAGGGCTGCCTCAACCAAGATCTATCATCCTGGCTGTCACTGCCACCAGACAGTTGCAACTTTCTTGACTCCATGACCCTCCTTATCCCTAGCCTACCAGCCATGTTCGCTACACCTTCCAAATCAGCTCCAACAAACCCCGGCGTTAACTGAGCGATTATTCTCATGTCAAAGGAGCCTTCAAGTCTAAGCTTTTGAGCTACAACAGAGAGTATCTCAGCCCTCGCATCTACATCAGGAACTTTCAACTCAATCTCACGATCAAATCTCCCACTCCTCCTCAGAGCAGGGTCAAGAGCATCAGGCCTATTAGTAGCTCCAATTACAATAACATATCCACCACTAGAAGAACCAGTGTCATTTTTAGGCCCATCCATACAAGTCAGTAACTGAGTCACTATCCTCTTCTCCATCTCCCTTTGCTGATTCTCCCTCTTTGATCCAATCGCATCAATCTCATCGATAAACACAATAGAAGGAGCAGTTCTATACGCTTTAGCAAAGAGCTCTCTAATATTCTCTTCAGAAGCACCTGAAACACCAGACACAACTTCCGTAGCTGAGACTGAATAAAACGGAACACCAGCTTCATTGGCAATAGCATTAGCTAACTGAGTCTTTCCACAGCCAGGTGGTCCATGGAATAAAACCCCCCTCGGTGGCGGCACTACCATCTTCTCAAACGGTGGAGGATTGAGAAGAGGGAACAGAATCTCAAACTCTAAATCTTTCAACACTTTATTAATCCCACCAAAGTCTTTAAAGGTACGTCCTTTGTTACTACTACTACCTTCCAAATCGTTCCCAGGAGGAGAGACTCTAGCTTCCTTTTTCAAACCCATTGTAGCCATCTTGCTTCTACCTTTGCTTGTAACAGTCTCAACTTCAACAATCTTTTCCACAGGAGGTTTCTTGACGGAGGAGCTATTCAACTTAGCGTAGTTATCTCTTAAGCTGTCGTTCATTAAATCAAACTTTGGTGGACTCAGCTTCTCGCTGTATATAGCGTCCTCAGAAGTCGAGATATCTCCACTATCTCCACTATCTCCTTCCTCTGAAGAAGAAGAAGAAACTGACTTCTTCTCTTTGTTTCTTCTCTTGAGATATGACTGTTCAGCTCTCTGCAACTTCTCTTCTTTCTCATCAACACGTTTATGTTTCTTCACTTTACCAGCAACAGCAACTTCATCAGAATCATTGTTGTCTTCGTCTTCTTCGTCTTTGGCACGCTTGTTGTTGTTGTTCTTGTTTCGGTCACTAAGGACGTGTCTGACGTTGAGGAGAAGCACTTGACGTGTCAGCCTGGCGAAATTACCGTACCTGGAACGGAGGTCGTCGGCGATTTCCTCCGCCGTGGATAAGTCTTTACCGCAGGAGTCAATTACTTGACTCAGGTATCTCCGATTGATGCCTCCGCCCATACCACCGCCTCCGCCGCGACCTCTCCTCCCCATTGTTACTGGTTCTGGCTTCGGGCTGGGCTTCTTCGGTGGTGAATCTTCTTAAGTAGTTTATACCAAAATGGAGGCGCAAAACTGCAGAAAACCCTAATTTGCTGCAGAGAAGTTTATAGTTCAGAAAGCCCTAATTTGCAGCAGAGTCGTTGGTTAGTCTGAATAGTAATTTTCTTTTTTTTTTGTAACAGTGTCTGAATAATAATTTTTTTGGAGGTAATAACGAGAAATTATGAGGACATATGGTGAAAATGGTAAAATACCAAAACATATTTTTATTACAGTTTGTTACCGACCTTGAGCCGGACAAAACAGAGTGACTGACTACAAACAGACATGCAAAGTTTGGGAAGAGAAGAGCGTTGTTGTGGTTGATCATTACGATAAGAAGCTAGAAGACGATTTTTCTCTTTTTTTTTTTTTTTTTTTTGCTTAACTAA